GTGTGTGTGTGTGTGTGTGTGTGTGTGTGTAGGTCTACAGCACTTCCAGAGTGTTAGGGTTTCTAATACCCCTCCGAGAAATAAGGCCCTCGTGATGCCAAGTAAATGAACTTCAGCGGCTCCAGTCTGTAGTGTTTAAGAACTAAAGACCTCAGGCAAACCAAGTGACATCTAGCAAGTTGACAAAAGGAGATTTCTCGATGTTCACAGCTGACATTTAAAACCGTTTCTCAGGGTTTCTGAATTTGCAGTGGGTGGAGGACAGAATGGTACATCAGTAATCTCCTGGAGAAAAGCGGAGACCATGTCGGTGCCCAGCAGTGGGCTCTGGAGCCGCTAACCCCCACCCCCCACCCCGCGGCAGTCCTGGTACACTTGGGAAACAGTCTAGTTGTTCTTGTAAGCCAGCCCCATCTCCCAGGAGAGGCAGGGGTGATGGACACCTGTCAGTGAGGAAGAAGTGGCCAAAGCCCATGGCCACGGTAACCTAGTCCTCTGGGACTCACTCCCAAGCTGCCTTGTTCAACTGGAAGACCATTGTTTAAGCAGATGGTCATTTGGGTCTACATGTTGTTCATTGTCCCAAATGGTTTGGAAACCTGGGTGCCAGAAAAGCGGTGATACTGCCTCACAGGCCTTCAAGGTGTCCCACGCATCTCTGAGCTTTATGGGACCGGTGACCTCGGCACACTGACAGTATGATGGCATGCGCACACACACAAATCACAAGACGACTGCAGAACCAATCTAGTGGGCGAATGCGGTCTGAGCCCCATGGCCAATGGCTGCCTTTGGCACGGTTGAGGTAGTGCAGTGGGCACCCATATCTCAGGATCGTCAAAGACCTGATTTCAAGATTATTGACACCATAAGGTTTAACTCTTCCTATTCTGGACTCACCCAGCTGGCTGACAGATTGAATCCAGCAGAGGCTGTTGCCCTGTGCAGAGCTGAGTATGTTATGCATGTTTTCATGCATGTCAATGAGTGAACTTGTACTTCCAGATCCAGAAGAGCTGCATTTTCCAGTCTTCCAAGAATCCCTTCTTGCTCCCAATAGAGTCGTTCATGCCGGAAGTGAAGGCTAGAACTCACTTCTGTTTCCAGGAGCCCGAGATGAGCTCGGAAACGGCATGGAGTGTGTCTCCAGAGTAGCATGGGAAGAGGCAAGCATGGCATGGGCTCTGTGGCGTGTGACTGTGGGCATCTTTTCCAGAAGCCTCCGATGACATACCACTGCACCCCTTAAGTTGACCCTCCCTTGCATTCTGCATTGTACTTGGCTGTCTATACAGCTGTTCCCTTAATACAGTGCAAGACCCTTAAATGCAGGACCTAACTCTTAACCCCGTCATCTCTAACATAAAATTTGACATGGAATTGTCGTCGTGTGCCATTCAACTCAGTTCTGACTCATAGCGACCCTAAAAGACAGAATAGAAGTGCCCCATAGGGTTTCCAAGGCTGTAACCTGTATAGAGCAGCTTGCCAGGCCTTGTCTGCCCTTCTGGTGAGCAGCCAGCTACTCACCATTGAGCCCCCGGGGATTCTCTAACAGAATTCTCACAGAATAATTTTTATTGGTAAATGTATAACTCTGGATGGATGGATGGATTGGTTGGTGGGGTGGGTGGAGGAATAGATGTGTTGG